TATGAATGTCCCAGAAACATTATGGGGACAAGCAGTATTGACCGCAGCAGCGCTGATCAACAGAATGCCCTCGAGAGTGCTGGATTGGAAGTCTCCGTGTGAGATATTGAAGGGAGATAATGGTGGGATTCTTCCACTTAAAGTGTTTGGCTGTGTGTGCTTTGTGAAGGACAACAGGCCATCTGTCGGGAAGCTTTCCCCTAGAGCTGTGAAGTGTTTCTTTGTGGGATATTCTGCTACTCAGAAGGGATATGTTTGCTGGAGCCCGGTGGAGAAAAGATTGTTTGTGAGCATGGATGTGCACTTTCGAGAACTTGAGCCATATTACACCCAGAAGGTAACTTCATCCGCTGGTAACTCGCCCAATACTAGAAGTATGAGGCGAGAGGAGGAGAATGGTGAGAGATCGGTGAACAATGTGAAGAAATCAATTTCTATATCGATTCCTTGGGAGGGAGAATTGGTTGAGGAGGAGCAGGAGAATGACGAAGAAAAGAAAAATGAGACAAGGGATGTTAGGCCTACTGTTCAGAGGGAGCTACTAACTTATAGTAGAAAGGGCAAGAAAATTGCAGGAACAGTACCTACAGTGCCACTAGTGCTACCAAGTCTCTTGCCAACGCCTACCCCGACTCCTGAAATACCTACACCACCACCAGTTTCATCCAAAGGTGGTAACATTCCTACTGATAACATTCCTCACCCTACTGATAACATTCCTCCCACACCAATATCAGTACGGAGGACTACTCGTAGTAATGCGGGAAATCCTCCCGATAGATATGGTTAGGATCTTGCCCAATATGTATCATATTCTAACATCCATCCTGCACATGGGGCATTCATTGCATCATTGGACTCTGTTACTGTACCTAATAATTGGCAGGTTGCTAAGAAGGACCCAAAGTGGAAAGTGGCTATGCACGAGGAGCTAGGAGCTCTAGAGAAGAACCGCACTTGGGAGCTAGTAAAACTACCAGAAGGGAAGAGAGCAGTTGGATGCAAGTAGGTCTTCACTGTGAAGCAGAATCCAGATGGACAAGTTGAGCGCTACAAGGCTCGTCTGGTGGTAAAAGGGTATAGTCAGACATATGGCATCGATTATGACGAAACTTTTGCACCGGTGGCGAAGATGAGCGCTGTTCGGACCTTAATCTCTCTAGCAGTAAATGATGGATGAAAGCTACACCAACTAGATGTGAAGAATGCATTTCTTCATGGAGATCTAGTGGAGGAGGTATACATGGAGATACCACCAGGATTCGGTACAGATCAGACAATGGGAAAGGTCTGCAGATTGAAGAAGTCTCTCTATGGGCTAAACCAGTCTCCTCGTGCTTGGTTTGATAGATTCAGAAGGGCTATGATTGGTATGGGGTACCAACAGATCAACGCCGATCATACAGTGTTCTTTCGACGGAGTAAAGGCCACATTATCATACTTGCAGTATATATGGATGATATGATTATTACAGGGGATGATGAGAAGGAGATTGCCCAACTTAAAATGAGACTGGGTAAGGAATTCGAGGTGAAAGATCTTGGCTTGCTTCGATACTTTCTTGGAATAGAGATAGCTCGAGGAGCGGAGGGAATCGTCCTATCCCAGAGAAAGTATGCACTGGATCTTCTCAAAGAGACAGGGATGTTAGGGTGCAAACCTGCAACTACACCGATCGACCAGAGGTTCAAGCTAGGTGCTGAGGCTGGAGAACCAGTTGATCGTGACAGATATCAGAGGTTGGTGGGAAGGCTGATCTATTTGAGTCACACACGTCCTGATATTTCTTTTGCAGTGAGCGTGGTGAGTCGCTACATGCACGATCCGAGGAAGGGTCATATGGACGCTGTGTACCAGATTCTGAGATATTTAAAGAGTGCCCCCGGAAAGGGGCTGATATTTAGAAAAAATGGACATGTAAGCATCGAGGGTTATTGCGACTCTGATTGGGCTAGCTGTGCTGATGACAGGAGATCCACCTCAGGATATTGTATCTTTATAGGAGGCAACTTGGTCTCGTGGAAGAGCAAGAAGCAATCAGTGGTAGCAAGGTCAACAGCTGAAGCAGAGTATAGAGCCATGGCCTTAGGAGTTGCAGAGTTATCGTGGTTGAAGAGTATGTTGGTGGAGCTGAAGCTGGATCAATGAGCCCAGATGAAGCTGTGGTGCGATAACAAGTCAGCCATCAGTATCGCTAACAACCCAGTGCAGCATGATAGAACCAAACACATCGAGATCGATAGGTTCTTCATCAAAGAGAAATTGGACAATGGACTACTGGAGTTAAGCCATGTTCCAACTAAGGATCAGGCAGCAGATTGTCTGACTAAAGGACTTAGTTCGTTAGATATGATTAGAGGATGTGACAAGATAGGCTTAGTGGATATCTTTCGCCCATCTTGAGGAGGAGTGTTGACATATGAGTAATATGTAGGGACTTATTTGTAAGTTGTATTTTGTAGGGGCCTATATAAGCCCAAGAGATTGCATAATAAAATTAGGGTTTTCTCTATTTTCTTCACATTTTAGTATTTTCCTATACAAAAATTATCTTGCTACTATTACACAGACAAGCAAACAGCCAATGCGACATATCCAGCACATCTAATAGCAAAAAAGATGCTAGAAGTAACAGCAAAGATAATTTCAGCAAATCATCCAATCAAACAGCTGGTTAAGTGCTTGCTATTTTCAAATTTCGAGACTATTAAAGTAAAAGGCCCAAAAGAAAAACTTGCACATGATAATTAATAAACCTAGAGGAACACATAGGGTCATTTGACTGCCAATCGGAGCTAATCCTAAGCAAGTGGGATTCAGCTACCTCTAAGCAGACACTTCTTAATTAAGTCAAACTGAAAAACAGATTAATAAAAATGTCAGGTACAGCTTCAAGACGTTGGAGTCTTGGACCGACTCAACCTTTTAATTAATTTTATTTAGAAAACAAATTAACAACTAGAAAAAGGATTTGAACCCTGAGAAATAATAACAAAAGCTAAAATGCCAGACCAACATGGCCTGGTTCATGTTCTCATATCATGTGAATTCAGACCAATAGAATTAAAGCCGGACCCAGTAACATATTATCATGGAACACCCTCAATCAAACCCTAAATGGTTTCTTCATTCCTCTTCTTCCTCTCAATTCAAGCCTTGACTCCTATGATAATCCATGACCTCTGCTCGTGACATTCATCCATCCAGTTGTCCCAAATTAATAGTCCTTTCTGATACAATCTTCAATTTTTCTGTGAATATTGAGTCCTATTTGATTCAGCAAGAATTTACTATTGCTCTGAAAGCCTCTTTCACTTAAAAAAAAATAACTTGCCTCGAGAATTGCATAAAGACTTCACCCATGCCCTTTTTCTAATTTTATGTCAGGAAGTAAAAAAGAAAAAAAAATTGATTAGATCCTGACCAACCCAACCCCACTTGACCAATACATGAGACAATTATTAGTTCTCCTGTTCATGAACAGGATGATATCAGATTCTAGGGCATGTTTGGTTATTTCCTAAAAAACCAAAAAATAGAAATGAAAACCAAGAAATCTCAAAAAGTACAATTTCACACGTTTCCATCCCTAAAACTCACTCACAACATCTAATAAAATATTATTTTTATCCAACAACTCATCCATCACATCTAATAAAATATTATTTTCATCCAACAACTCATCCATCACATCCACCACATCTAATAAAATATTATTTTCATCCACAACATCACTCAACTCATCTCATCTCATATTTAAAAATCACACACATCATATAAGATTGTGACAACTCATCTCATCTCATTAACATTTCATTTCTTTGTTTTCCTCCCAAAAAGCTAGGAAAACAATTTCCTTAAGTGTGGGTCATATCATCCAATAATATAATGACAACTCATATCATCTCATCTATTTTCTTATTTTTAAGAAATAACCAAACAAAAGAAAACAACCTAATACAAGAAATAGGTTTCTTATAATTCATTTTCTTATTTTTTTTCCGCCAACCAAACAACATCAAAACAAGTTTTCTTAAAAAATCACTCACATCATCCTATAATAAGGTGACAACTCATCTCATCTCATCTCCATTTCTTTGATTTCCTTCTTTTTTTTTAGCCAACCAAACAATACCAAAACCTATTTTTCTTAGAAATAGGTTTCATTTTCTTTGATTTCCCTCTTTTTTTAGGCAAACAAACAGCCCCTAACTAGAACCATTGTAGACCCAAGGAATAAGAGATAAGAAGAGCAAAGGATTTGCCTTGACCAAAAAAATTAGAACACACTTTCATCTTACTTATTAGTCCAGTCTTTGTCTTAATAGAAGAAAATTCCCAGTAAATGCAAATACAACAAATAAATCACACATAGAAGAAAAGAAAAAGTTTTACCCAATCATAGTTTCTGGAAAGAAACTCAGCAACAGTGGATTTATGTCTCGTCAAAAGCTCCTGGAATAGAAAAATACTTTCACCGCTTAAGCAAATTCCAAACATGAATACAAGGCAATCAAAACCAAGCAACAAAAAGATAACATATTGAAGACTACTTAACTACTAGATTGATATGCAACTATCATCTAACAAAGAATAGCTCTTAAGAAATTTATTCAGTGCCAAGCAAGACCCAGCACGATAATGAATACAAAATATTGAGTCATATTAACCTTAAATGTCGAAGAAGCATCTGATGCTATGTCAAAATTTGGAATTTGTATATAATCGAAAAACTTTTTCATGTGCTCAGACTCTAAAACATACCTGCAAAAGGACGGAAGTCAGATAATGATTTTAATAATAAAAAAGTATTATGTTTGCAGCTGAAGTTCTGCATAATACGAAGACCAGAGCAGACCTTTGAGTAATTTTCACAAACTTTAACATATGAATAAAAGATTACATTTATAAAGAGCTTTAAACAAAGTAAGTCAAAGATTTTTAGCCAAAAAGACTACCATTACACATAATACTATAATATGCAACTTCCAGACATCCTACTACTAAAAATTAACCAGTCCTTTAAAGTGCCACTGTGATGTAATTAGTGCCAACAAGCAATGTATTTGGCAAAAGACATGTCACATCCTAACATGTAAGGACCTTGCAGGACGCCAATTTTGTACACATGTTGTAGATTAAGCAGAAACAAATTAGCCAAGAAGAGTGATGCAGACATCCAAGCACGTGTACGGGATTTTCACCATGTTTATCAGCGCAGGAGACGCCGTGTTTCAGCATTGTATCAGATCTCTGCTATGTGGTTTTGATTTTCAGTTTAGTAGTTATTTCAGTTCAGTAGTTAATTTGAAATTTGAATTGTGGGTTAGATTTGGTAGTTATTTAGTTTTAATATCTGATTGATTGTGAGAGATTTGATTGATTCAGGGAATCTTCCAAATCTGTACTTTTTTCTTTGCTATTTAAACACTGTTGTAATCAGATTTTAATTATTGAAGAATTGAATGAAAAATTATTGTGTTAGCTAATTTTGGTGAGAAACCCTAAGCTAATACTCTCCCTCTCCTTTCTCAGACGTCAAAATAAAAAATAAAAAAAACAAACCCCTGTTCTTCTCTGTCCTCCAACCGACAGACCCACTCCCCCTCTCCCGTCGCTCCCCACGACCACACCGCTTATTTGCCATCGCTCCTCATACCTACCGACTCTTTTCCAACTCCCGTCAGCCCCTCCCAACGTTCATTCTTCATCCCCTCTCCTTCTCCCTTTCTATCTTCACCACCAGCCACCACCCAAACCTTAATAGTACCCGCTCCTCCTCTTTCCGATCAAGCCGACAACCTCCATAAGCACGCCCCCTATTCCGCACTCCTCCTCTCTCTTCCCATCGACAATCCACTGTCACCCTGCCCTAAATCCCCTCACAGTCTCTAGCCCCGTGAGTCCTCCTCTGCTTCCCCACCTCCAAACAGACTGCTCAAAAACCCCCTGCGTCGCCAACGAAACCGCCAACACCCCTTTTCCCTCCTCCACAGACCTACTGATACCTTCTTTCCCTCCTCCTAGCCGAGCAACCCCACGAAACCCCCACCCCTCCTCCACTTCCGAGTAGTTCTGACGCCGCCCGCGTCCTCCGATCACCCACGCATCCAATCGTTGAGTGGTTGTCACCTCGTTCGACACCGATTCGAGTTCTGATACCACGGCTCATTGGTGTACGGCCGATCCTGCCGTCGAAGACGCCCAGTTCGTGTATGACCCAGAGACCGGCGTGATCGATTTGCAGCTCTCTCAGTGGTTCGACTACTAGCCTTTCGATACCCAAACCGGATATTTTGAGTGCGTGACTCCTCAGATTGCTGATAGCGTGAAGAGTCGTTTGGGGATTAGTTCCTGGCACAAACATTTCCATCTGGACACGCTGCTTCATCCCAGTTACGTAGCTCTCGAAGGAGAACTCACTCCTCTCATATTCGGCGTCGTCACACCGCCTCCAGAGGTCTCTCACGTCGAGCCAGTTCAGACCGACGAATGTTTCGTTTTCTTTCGACCTAATATCTTAGGAGTTACTTTTGCGTGCATGTTATTATCAATTTTAATATCAATTGCGATTGTGTTGTATTTTGTTTGATTAGTAAGCGAGCAATTATGTTGCTGCGTATATTTGTTGATCTAAATATTACAAGTCGAACTTTATTTACGAGAACAAGTCATTACATTTATTTTTCTGAGTAATTTACAAGGCCGTAAACTTAGTACACTTGCAACTTTTATTTAAAAATCATAGCTTCACTTTCTTCTCGAGTTTCCTGCCTAGATCGATCGCTGATTTGATGAAACATTGCTGTCGATGTTCTTCATACCTACATACACATTATTTCACATTATTTTTGGTATCAGAGCGTGGTTTTAGGTTAGAAAATTTTTAGATTAGTTTAATTGAGTCTTTTATTTGATTAAAAAAATTATTATCATTTATTTCATTTGATTGTTAGTGCATACCATTCATCTTATTTAGTTAGTGCATGCCCACTCGCACAAATCTACTTTATCAATTAGGAGAGTCAAGTGAGTTGACTAGTGAGTCCAGCATGTTAGGCAATATCGATTCCGAACTCCTTAAGAAATTCGACAAACTAGCAGGACAACTAAGTGTCGTAGTCCAGGAGTGCAGAGCTACCTGTGAGGCCCTAACGGATTTTCAGAATGAAACCAACGAAAGGTTCGCTAGGCTCGAAGAAACACATGTTGCAACCCCGCCGTTGCAAGGTCAAGGTTATGGACACATCGTTCATCGACCCTACATCAACCTGTGCCTGATCCAGATGCGCAATACCTGAGGAGCATCAAGATAGAAGCCCCGACCTTCGATGTTAAGCTCGACCCACAAGCTTTTTTGGATTGGCTGAAGAACATGGATCGCTACTTTGACAGGTACGCCCTGACAAAACCACGAAAAGTCAAGTTAGCCTCAATGAAGCTTACCGAATCCGCTTGCCAATATTGATCCAACCTCGAAATGTTAAGGCATATTAGAGGTGAATTACCAATTTTAACTTGGTGAGAAATGGCTGACAAACTGAAACGAAAATATCTCCCGCCATCGTTTTATCAGATATTGCTAGATAAGTGGCATTGTCTCACTCAGGGAACCAAATCTGCGAAATAATACATTGCTCAATTTGACGAATTGTTCACTCGATGCAGCACAATTGAGCAAGAGGCGCCAATGAAAGTCTTATCAAAGTTTAGAGCTGGATTGAGAAGTGACCTCCAAACCTAACTCTTTGCTAGAGGAGTAGACACCCTTGAGAGAACCTACGCCTTAGTTCAAGATTTGAATGAAGCTAAATCCCACCAATCTCATAGGGGTCAAGATTTTCGAGCTCATTCCTCTCAGTCCTCCCGAGCCACTACCTCTAGTCAACCTCAGAATCGATCTAACCTTCGTTCTTCCCAGACTAGAATCGATCCCAATGGTAAGGAATCAGAGAGATTTCTCTAAGATTGGCCCTCACATCAAGTGCTACAAATGTCAAAGGTATGGACATGTTTCTGCGAACTGCCCGACCCGTCACAAAGTCTTTATCATTGATGGCCAATATGAATATGAACCTGAACTTGATAAAGATGAATTTGTCTATCAAGTTGACGATGATACTGATGATTTTGAGAACAACGTAAATGATATTGTCTTAGGTTGTCTTAGACAAATTGAGATCCTGATCATATCTGTTGTTAGATGCACCATCTCTCAACCCAAAGCTGTTGATGATTGGAGGCGTACTTCTATCTCCCACACGTTCACATAGATTGGCGATAAGAATTGCAAAGTGATCGTGAACAGTAAAAGCTGCATTAATGCGGTCTTCTCAGCTGTGATAGCCAAGATTGGTCTTAAGGCCGTACTCCATCCTAATACATACAAGGTATCGTGGATTAATGACACTGCACTTCATGTCCAAGAGAGATGCTTAGTCCCTCTTCAATTTGCTATTTACAAAGACAAGGTTTGGTGTGATGTTCTGAAAATGGATGTGGGTCAAATTATTCTTGGTAGACCCTAGCTGTTCGATAACGATCTTCATATCTTCGGGCGATCAAACATGCTATCATTTGAGCATGACGAGAAGAATGTCAAAATCCTTTCGGTTCAACCGAAAGGTAGTGCCAAGCAGCTCAATCCAGACAAGTCTTCCAAAGACGTTAACCTGATTGGAGCCAAAGAGGTCGACCGTGAGCTAGCCAATGGAACCCCATTTTTCATTCTCACTACAAGAGAAGCTCCTAAGGATATTGTCGATGTAGTTCCGCCAGAAGTTGCTCTTGTGTTGGAAGAATTCTCCGATGTCTTCCCTAAAGATCTTCCGGACCAATTACCCCCAATGCATAACATCCAACACTCAATTGATCTAGTCCCGAGAGAAACTCTTCCCAATTTGCCTCATTACAGGATGAACCCCAATGAACATGCAGAGCTGAAGAGGCAAGTTGATGAACTGCTAAAGAAGGGTTTTGTGAAGAAAAGCATGAGTCCTTGTGCGGTTCCCACATTACTGACGCCAAAAAAGATAGAACATGGTGTATGTGTGTGGATAGCGTGCAATTAACAAGATTAAGGTGAAGTATCGTTTCCTCTTTCTCTAGTTGGATGACATGCTTGATCTAATGTTTGGAGTCACTATCTTTTCATAAGATTGATTTTAAGAGTGACTACCATCGGATTAGCATCTGCTCCGGTGACGAATGGAAGACCGTTTTCAAGACGAAAGACGGATTGTACGAATGGATGGTCATGCCCTTTGGTTTGACTAATGCTCCGAGTACTTTTATGAGAGTGATGACTCAAGTACTTTGCCCCTTCACTGGAAAATTCTTGGTGGTATACTTTGATGATATCCTTATTTACAGTAACTCTCGGGAGCAACATGTAGACCATCTGCGTCAAGTCTGTGTTGTGTTAAGAAAAGAGCAACTCCATGTTAATCCTAAAAAATGTACTTTTCTTACACACCAAGTTATTTTTCTATGATTTGTGATCTCTTTTGAAGGAGTATCCGCTGATCCTAAAAAAGTTAAGAGCTATCGAAGAATAGCCTGAGCCCAAGAACATTAGAGATGTTCGAAGCTTTCACAGACTCGCTACTTTTTATCGTCGGTTATAAAGGATTTCAGCACCATCATGGCCCTTATTACTGATTGCTTGAAGAAATGTGAGTTTGAGTGATCAAAAGCTGCTACAAAGGCATTCATGGAGATCAATCAGAGAATGTCACAGGCACCTGTTATGAGCCTACCCAATT